GTAATCCCGCACCTCCTCCTAACTTCCAAACTACGAATTCTCTGCATTATATTCACACCACACATTGCCCTCAGACATGACATCTCCACTGCCTCCAGCCTTCTCCTCGCTGCAACATTCATCACCCATGCTTCACACCCATATAAGAGCGTTGGTAAAACTATACTCTCATACATTCCCCTCTTTGCCTCCAAGGACAAAGTTCTTTGTCTCCACAGACTCCTAAGTGCACCACTCACTCTTTTCCCCTCATCAATTCTATGATTCACCTCATCTTTCATAGACCCATCCGCTGACACGTCCACTCCCAAATATCTGAATACATTCACCTCCTCCATACTCTCTCCCTCCAATCTGATATTCCATCTTTCATCACCTAATCTTTTTGTTATCCTCATAACCTTACTCTTTCCTGTATTCCACCTTTAATTTTCTTCTTTTGCACACCCTACCAAATTCATCCACCAATCTCTGCAACTTCTCTTCAGAATCTCCCAAGAGCACAGTGTCATCAGCAAAGAGCAGCTGTGACAACTCCCACTTTGTGTGTGATTCTTTATCTTTTAACTCCACGCCTCTTGCCAAGACCCGCGCATTTGCTTCTCTTACAACCCCATCTATAAATATATTAAACAACCACGGTGACATCACACATCCTTGTCTAAGGCCTACTTTTTACTGGGAAATAATTTCCCTCTTTCCTACATACTCTAACTTGAGCTCACTATCCTCGTAAAAACTCTTCACTGCTTTCAGTAACCTACCTCCTACACCATACACTTGCAACATCTGCCACATTGCCCCCCTATCCACCCTGTCATACGCCTTTTCCAAATCCATAAATGCCATAAAGACCTCTTTAGCCTTATCTAAATACTGTTCACTTATATGTTTCACTGTAAACATATATATATATATATATATATATATATATATATATATATATATATATATATATATATATATATATATATATATATATATATATATATATATATATATATATATATATATATATATATATATATATATATATGTATGTATGTATGTATGTATGTATGTATGTGTGTGTGTGTACTCATCTAATCGTGGTTGTAAGAGTCGATTCGTGTGCATATGCAAAAATCGCGAGCAAGAGATGCAAGATGCAAAACAACCAAACAGGGAATTGAATGATAGCTCTAGATCTTTTGTGTTGCAATCAACACATCAGGAGCTTCCAACATTGCAGAAATGAATAGGAAGTCCAAGTAGTTTTTGTTAATTCGAGATGGAATTGGTCCTCTGAATGAAACTACTTGAACTTTCTACTCATTTCTGCAACACTGCAAGCTCCTGATGATGTGTTGATTGCTAAAGGAAAGGCCTAGAGCTCTCATTCAACTCCCCTTGTGGATATATATATATATATATATATATATATATATATATATATATATATATATATATATATATATATATATATATATATATATATATATATATATATATATATATATATTATATATATATATATATATATATATATATATATATATATATATATATATATATATATATATATATATATATATATATATATAATATATATATATATATATATATATATTATATATATATATATATATATATATATATATATATATATATAATATATATATAATATTCCTCCATGGGGAAGTGGAACAGAATTCTTCCTCCGTAAGCCATGCATGTTGTAAGAGGCGACTAAAATGCCGGGAGCAAGTGGCTAGTAACCTCTTCTCCTGTATATATTACTAAATGCAAAAGGAGAAACTTTCGTTTTTCCTTTTGGGCCACCCCGCCTCGGTGGGATACAGCCGGTGTGTTGAAAGAAAAGAAATATATAATATTCTCCATGAGGAAGTGGAACAGAATTCTTCCTCTGTCAGTCATGTGTGCAATAAGAGGTGACTAAAATGCTGGAAGCAAGGGGCTAGTAACCCCTTCTCCTGTATACATTACTATATTTAAGAAGAGAAACTTTTCATTTTCCTTTTAGGTTACCCTGCCTCAGTGGGGTACGGCCAGTTTGTTTTATATATATACATATACATATATATGTACATGCTTAGCATGATACAGTAGGCCTGGTGCAGTGCACTTCCTTTCTTATGTTTTTCATAATTTCCATGCTCATCCTGACCGCTGCAGGATTTGAACCCAACTGTTAAGGCTGTTTGGCCACCAAATACGTCATCGCTAATACATCAACTGGATCAAGGTGTAATTAAATCATTTAAGCGTATCTACACACATAGAGTCTTACAAGAAATGCTTGCAGCAATGGACGATGACTCAGAGTTTGGAGTGCCAGAGTTCTGGCATAAATTCAACATTGTAGATGCCTAACACCAAGTCAAAGGTACACCAAATAATATGCCAAAATCAATAATATATGCAGTCTGCAGAAAATTATGTCCTAGTGTTTCGAATATTTTCCCAGGATTTCTCTCAGTTGAGTGTCAAGTCTGAAAAATTGTTCAGCTGCTGAGGAAAATGCCAGGTGAGATCTTAGAAGACATGCAGCCAGAAGTCAACAAACTATTAAGGGAAAATAAAGAAGAAAGAAGTCCAAAGAAATATTGGCAGAGCTGAATTCCCAGATAGAAGGAACTCAGCGAGTTGAAGAGGATGAAGAAGAGCCTGTAGAGAGACAGTCAACACTTCAAAAGTTGCATGAGCAGTTTAATGTTGCTGCTAAACTTGCGGAATTTTTCACTGAAGAGGACCCTGACATATCTAGAAGCACTGTTCGAAAACAGATGCTGGACCGAGCAATGATGCACAATCATCAGCTGAATAAATTAAAACACCTCAGAGACGTATGACAGAATACTTCAAGACTTCTATATGTAAAAACTCTGTATCAATCTCAGCCAATGAACCCCTCCCATCCACTTTAGTCAGTGAGCTTCAGCCATCCACATCAACCCATGAACCCCAGCCATCCACTATAGCCCATGAACCCCAGCCCTCTACTTCACCCATGCTATCCAGCTCATTTGATGTCCAGTAGAGCCATACCATGCCTCTTCACTGACAATAACCTACTTAAGCAACAGCAACCAAACTTTCTTAGGTTATGCTAGGTTCAACCATCCTGTATTAGATTATAATAACGTGCTTCAATGTGCTCATAACATCTGCTTGCATTTTAAAATCATTATGCAATAATAGTTTATTCATTTAGGTGAACTGCATATTTCTGGAGGAGGGATAGAACGAAACATATTTTTTCCTGTAAGTTTTTCACTCCAGATTTGGCGTTTTCACATACAGTTTTATTTTTTCTGGAACATGTCTCTCGCGGTATGTGGTGGATGTCCACTGTGTGCGTGCATATATATATATATATATATATATATATATATATATATATATATATATATATATATATATATATATATATATATATATATATATACACACATACATACACACACACACATACACTTAATTCACAAAGGAGAGAACATTATCTCTTAGTCCGGAACAGGACTCGAACCTGAGCATTCTATATCAAAGTACACAGCACTTATGCCACACACCCAAACACTGCCAAGTATGGGCACCTAGGTTTAATACACTCCCCTAAGTAAACTCTTGCAAACTTTATAAACTTAAATTTAAGTCAGAACTTTGCATACATTTCCAGCAGTGACTTCTCTGTACCCTTGATAAATGCCACCTAACACTTGGACCTGTCATATATATGACTGCACAGTATATTTTGCACTATTATCTACTACCTTATCAAAAAATCTACAAACATCAATTAATATTAAGAATCTTACAGCCGGGGGAGGGGAGAGGAAGGTAATTCGGTTTGATCAGAGAAAGGGGAGAGTAGCTCCAATTCCTCGAATCAAGAACTTCTCATTAGCCTCGTGAAGTATTAAGATCATCAAGGAAATGTTTACAAATAATGAGTTATCCACAGTTCCATAGCATAACATTGTGTACAAGGTTTCACTGGTAGGTTGGCTAATTGAGTTGAAAACCTGTCGATTATACGTGAGTCATTAAAGCTGCATGTCACCTGTTCACCTCCAGTCAAGAATAATACCTAAAATTGGGATTAAAGTACTCTGTCTATATACACTGAGAAATCCACACCTCTCGATATACATAGGCTATTTTGGGGATTAATACCCCGTAGCCCGGTCCACGGTCAGGCCTCGTGGTGGATCGGCCTGATCAATCGAGACTGTTCAACTGCCTCCCAGCACACATAAGGGGGATTACCAACAGACCCCTGGCAGTCTTCAAGCTGGCACTGGACAAGCACCTAAAGTCAGTTCCTGATCAGCCGGGCTGTGGCTCGTACGTTGGTTTGCGTGCAGCCAGCAGCAACAGCCTGGTTGATCAGGCGCTGATCCACCAGGAGGCCTGGTCACAGACCGGGCCGCTGGGGCGTTGACCCCCGAAACTCTCTCCAGGTAAACTCCAGGTACTGCTGGCCGCACACAAATCGACATACGAACCACAGCCTGGATGATCAGGTAATGACTTTAGGTGCCTGTCCAGCTCCCTCTTGATTTTTTTTTAACATACCGGCCGTCTCCCACCGAGACTGGTGACTCGAAAAAGAATGAGTTAATGGCTCCTTGGTCCTGGCAAAGTAACTTGTTATATTTCAATTTATCCATTCATACATCACACAGGATATATGGTAGTGAACAGGTGAATGCAATCTTAATAACCCTTGTGTAGTCGATAGGCTTGAAAAACGCTATTAACCAATCAATCACATATACAATAAATTTCTTAAATTTATCCATTTATACAATAAATTACTTTAGTTTATCAATTTATACAATAAATCACTTACATTCATGCATTTATACAATAAATTATATATTATATATATATATATATATATATATATATATATATATATATATATATATATATATATATATATATAATATATATATATATATATATATATATATATATATATATATATACGGTTCATCTTTTTTCCTTTATATCTACAAACCAACTGAGGAATTTGAAGACTAATTCATCTTCGTACAGACAAGCCAAGCTACTGCTAATAACTGTCTCACTCAACTAACCCAATGAATTAGTAACCATCGTGTTAAGTTGCCCATTTAGTTACCCATTGAATTTGTTAACCACTGAGTTTGTTACTTATTGAGTTTGTTACCCAATGAGTTAGTTGCCCATTGAATTGCTTACCCAGTGAGTTAACTTATCTCAATGAGTTCTTACTCCAATGAATTAGTTACCTACTGAAGAGTCCAAGAATTTCATTTTCTATTACACTGACTCTAGAACTAGAGAAAACGGCTTAGAGATCAAGATAGACGACTTGTGTAGCGGTGACTGCACCACAGGCGGCCAGGAAGCTGGCGGCGCAGACGACGGCGGTGGTGGAGCCCACGGCGGAGATGATGGAACCCATGCACGACGAGAGGATGAACTGCGCCAGGAACACCATGGACGAGACGATGGCCACGTCAGTACCCAAGCCACGCACCTGCTGCTCAGGACCGTCGCTAGCCTGGGTCCCTGATGCTTCCTCAATCTCAGCCTTGAACTGTTGGGGGATAGTTTATATTTCAAATTATTTTAATAAGGCGTCTGACACGCGTATATACGTTCATTCAGTTAAATGATAATGGAGGGCGATTTATTATTATAATAATGGTATATAATACAGACATATTGCTGAGTAAGATGCATGCGCAACAGTTACGTAGACGAAACGCCTCAGATATAAAGATACCTAAGTATATCAGGTATAGATATACATAAATACAATTATCATACATAGTAACATATGCAAAACAACCACTCTGAAAAATTGTGAAAGTCCAAGCGCTCTCGTGATTTCTCCCATTATCGCAAGTCCTTCATAATGTGAGAAATCACGAAAGTGCTTGGAATTTCATTATTGTGATATCAACTGCTTATTGTGATCTTATTGCATAGTAACAAATGTATACATTACCTCGTATAACCCAAAAAATGGCAGACGAAGTGACTCGTTTCCTCTTGAGTCATAGTAATATCAAACTGCTGTACATGTGCCTTACTCAAGGACAATTTTAACACACATAATCACTCATGTAGATGACAAAGACACATGAAACATCGGAAGATTTTTTTTTAGCGTTTTGCTCGAGGCTTAAGCAAAACGTTGTTTTAATTAAAGCTTACGCTGTTTCATGTATCTTTTTCACCTATCATCTCGCTGTCTCTTCTCCCTATTACTCAAGTAATAATTTTATTACAAAAAATGCAGATACACTCTTTTTCCTTTCACTAAAAAAAAAAAAACGCAGAGACAAGGTACCTGATTATGACATATCGGTGCGTCCTGTACCATTGTCAAATCACAACTAGGCGAGAAGAGTAGAGAAGGCCAAAAGATTCTCACAGTATCAATCTCCTCTCCCTTTACAATCATACATATACACTAATTCTCACTTTTCTCTTGTACCAACTAACCTTCCAATCCTTTCCCCATTTCTATTATCTCACATTTCTGATTTCCCCCATGTCTCGTATCCCTCTCGCAGTGGTCCGCTTCCCTCCCCTCATCGCTCTCCTCCCCATTACCATTAGGCCCCCACCTTGCTATAGGTAATAAAAATACACACAGAGCAGAGCAAGCTTTATTAATTGAGTTTATTGTTGCTTACGAAAACTCTGTTGATCTGACAGAGCTCTACAGAGAGTGAATCGTTGTCACAATGAAAGCTTGCTCTGCAACCTGTGTTGTTCATGTGTTGGCACTCTTAATCCCCTATGTAGGTAATGTGCCTCCCAATCCCGTGTTGGCACTGCATTTCACAAACTCATGTGCTGAAACTATACTTCACAATTCCCCTGTTGGCACTGTGTCTCGCAATCTCTGTACTGGCAGTGTGCCTCCCAGTCTTCTGTGTTGGAACTGTGTTTCACAATCTCCTGTGTTGGCACTGTGCCTCACATTTTCGTGTTGGGACTGTCTCACTACCCCTCGTGTTGGAACTGTTCCTCACATTTCCCGTGTTGGCACTGCCTCGCTATCCCCCGTGTTGGCATTGTCTCACTATTCCCCATTTTGGCAATGTCTCACTATCCCCCGTGTTGGCACTGTCTCACTATCCCCCGTGTTGGCACTGCCTCACTATCCCCCGTGTTGGCACTGTCTCACTATCCCCCATGTTGGCACTGTGCCTCCTCCCCACTCACCGCTTCACCACAGCAGCGTGCCCACAGCTGCCGGATCTTGGTGACCAGCCAAACATCTTCACACTCAATCTATGGGAGACAAGATGAAGGCGGCCGCTTCTAAGAAAAAAGGCATCTAAAAAAAAGCACTAACACTGGCCGGATGTAAGAATCTGTTAAATGGTGTTGATTAAAACTAAAAAGACCATTTTTTGGGGGGAGGGGGACTAAATGTTGGGGTGTTTTATATTGTCTAAGAATAAGTGGCTCATCTGCTAAAAGGTCGAAGGTCACGTGACATGGTACAGATGAGGCCTATTATGAGAGTACGAGACATGGAACTTAACTTGGAGCTAAAAGGTCTAATGTAACGTTACCGTAACCTAAAAGGTCTACTAATCTAACGTGACCTGGAACCATAAAGTTTAACTAACGTTACTTGGAACCATAAAGTTTAACTAACGTGTCCTGGAACTATAAAGTTTAACTAACGTCACCTGGAACTATAGTTTAACTAACGTGACCTGGAACTATAGTTTAACTAACGTGACCTGGAACTATAGTTTAACGTCACCTGGAACTCTAGTTTAACTAACGTGACCTGGAACTATAAAGTTTAACTAACGTGACCTGGAACTATAAAGTTTAACTAACGTGACCTGGAACTATAAAGTTTAACTAACGTGATCTGGAACTGTTAGACCTAACGACCTGAAACTAAAAGGTTTAGCTAAAGTGACAAATGGGCCATAGTATAGACCTATGTGATCTGGAACTAAAAGGTAACTTCGTACAAGTGTTATTTTTCCTCAGAATAAAAGAAAGAATCCAAGTTGTTTCTTACATTTAAAAAACGCAGAAAGGACACAAAACACTGCAAGAACCTTGAATGATAAATGGTGCAAAGAACACGTTACTGGATTAATAACCCAGGAGTGAGACGTATGTGTGGTGAGACGTAGTATGTGCATGGTGAGACGTAGTATGTGCATGGTGAGACGTAGTATGTGCATGGTGAGACGTAGTATGTGCATGGTGAGACGTAGTATGTGCATGGTGAGACGTAGTATGTGCATGGTGAGACGTAGTATGTGCATGGTGAGACGTAGTATGTGCATGGTGAGACGTAGTATGTGCATGGTGAGACGTAGTATGTGCATGGTGAGACGTAGTAGGTGCATGGTGAGACGTAGTAGGTGCATGGTGAGACGTAGTAGGTGCATGGTGAGACGTAGTAGGTGCATGGTGAGACGTAGTAGGTGCATGGTGAGACGTAGTAGGTGCATGGTGAGACGTAGTAGGTGCATGGTGAGACGTAGTAGGTGCATGGTGAGACGTAGTAGGTGCATGGTGAGACGTAGTAGGTGCATGGTGAGACGTAGTATGTGCATGGTGAGACGTAGTAGGTGCATGGTGAGACGTAGTAGGTGCATGGTGAGACAGACGTATGGGAAAATCCCTTTAAATCAACTACTCATTTTCAACTAGAGATAAATAAGTCCCTGGGTGTTGGTAGACTGGTGTAACTGGCTTCGTGACACAGGCTGATTGCTTAACTGGGTTTAAAACCTATTGACTACAAGAGGGTCATTAAGGCTGTGTCACCTGTTCATCACTTGCTAAAAATACTTTAAAATATATATATATATCCTTATGGGGAGACGTATTGTTATTACATGTACTTTTATGTTGTGTTGTTGTTTGGAAGTGTACTGACTAATGAGTCTGTATAAAGATGTCTTGAGTACAATGCAATGAGCTACTGGCTTGATACTGATATCTATATAATATAAAGTGAAACAAAAAATCTATTTACTAGCATCGTGAAAAAAAATTCTTGATGATCAAAAGGGCATAATAACTAGTTACTTAATCTAGAAAATTTAATTGAAAAAAATTATTAGAATAAGGATATACCAGCAAAAGCTTACTACTGCATAATTTTTTCTAAAAGTACTGATAAAAATGTTGCTAGGATATATGTACAATAATCCAAGACTTCTAATATAACTGATTAATACTACAATTAACATTGATAAACAAGATGAAAATTTCTCCTCTCAGAATAAAGGGTTCTCCTATCTGTTTGGCATACGTGATTACCTTTCAAGAGGAGAGTTATGATGCCCTTGAGGAGCTATAAAACAAGCCAACCTAGCCTAATTCGCATCTATATTTGGAGTTAAATTCTAGGCTAGGTCAGGTTGGGTTACTTTTTCGGGGGTTAGAAAAAATATATGCAAGTTTCGTCTCCAAAGGCCCAAAATATAAGTTTCAACTGCACATCTTACTCAATGATCGACACCTTACATAACATAAAACACAAAAGGTATTTAACTTTATATTTGCCGGGCTCTTTATTAATTGAAGTTACCCCTCTTGAAGGGTACTGACGCCAGGGGTACGTGAGTGATCCAGCATGACGTAGAGTGAGGTACGTACCGTCTCCGAGGCGTGGTAATGCGCCACCAGTAGGTACGGCATGGTGAACAACGTCGAGTACATGACTCCAGCACAGCAGGAGAACATGATGACAGCGACAGGGTGTCTGAGGGCGGCCATGAACACCATCCCAATGCTGTACACCAGCTGCCCGCAGACGTACACAGGCTTGGCTCTGGCGCACATAAACACATACATGAGGATTCAACACATTCATGTACATCATCCCCGCCCAAATATACACCAGCTAACGACGCACATATAGAGGACTAACAACAGCAGAAACCCTGTAAGGGTCCAATACAGTCATATACACAGCCATGAACATCATTCTAAAACTCTGTGGGTGATAAAAAGCCAATTTTTTGGAGGAAAAACTCTTGCAATAAAGTTTTTCAACCCTATGCTAAGTGTCACTTCAAAAGCACCACCTAAGTGGACATCACACGTGTAGAAAAAACCCTTTGCCAAGTGTCACTTTAAAAATACAACTTCGTAAACAACACAAGTGTAGCAAAAGTCCTTTACTAAGTGTCACTTCAAAAACACCAACTGTGTGGACAACACATGTGTAAGTACGTACCTAAACCTCTTGACGAGTCCCTCAATCAAGAAGGAATACACGGAGCAGGAGAGGGAGTAGAGCGCCATACCCCAGCAACCGAAGCGAACACCTTCCTCATAGAGCTCTTTCTCCTGTGTACCGTCAGCAGCCTGAGATGAACCACCAGTTAGTCAGCAACAATCATGAAATGAACCACCAGTTAGTCAGCAACAATCATGAGATGAACCACAGGTTAGTCAGCAACAATCATGAGACGAAAGGTCACACACACATGAGCTACTAAGTCTCTGCGAAAAACACACCTTAAGCCAGCAGATAGTGGAGCCAACAAGACTAGAAAACACACTTGACCTTATCTTCACAAATAATGAGGACCTGATAAAAGACATAAGAATATCAAAAACAACTAATTCCGATCACAACCTAATCGAAGTCCAGACGTACATGCATAGGGGTCCTGATCAGCAGAATGCATGTACCTGTGAAGGTGTCTTCACAAAATACAACTTCAACAACAAGAACATCAACTGGGACCAGGTAAACCATGTCCTAAACGAAACATGTTGGGAAGATGTCTTAAATGACATGGATCCAAACCAGTGCCTTGAAAGGATCAACTTCCTGGTAGCTGAAGCATGTTCTAGGCATATTCCCCTAAGAAAGAAGAAGAGCAGGAGTAAACTGGAGAGAAAAAGACGCTCCCTCTACAGAAGACGACGAAGAGTCACTGAGCTCCTCAGGAGTGCTAGAACATCTAATACACGAAAGGAGGCGCTGACCAGGGAAGTGGAAACTATCGAACTTAAGCTAAATGACTCTTACGGGAACCAGGAGAGGCAGGAGGAGCTTAAAACTATTAGTGAAATTGAAAGAAATTCAAAATATTTCTTTTCATATGCCAAAAACAAGGCAAATACCACATCTAGTATCGGGCCCTTACTCAGACAGGATGGGACTTACACAGATGACAACAAGGAAATGAGTGAAACATTGAAATCCCAGTACGACTCTGTGTTTAGTGAACCACTAATAGGTCTGAGGATCGACGACCCAAATGATTTCTTCATGAATGAGCCTCAAAACTCCATAAATGTATGCCAGATTTCTGACATAACCCTAACTCCGATAGATTTCGAAAAAGCCATTGACAACATGCCTATGCACTCAGCCCCGGCCCAGACTCGTGGATAACTCTGTTTTCATTAAGAACTGCAAGAAACCCCTCTCGCGTGCCCTAAGTACACTATGGAGGAGGAGCTTGGACATGGGTGAAATTCCAGTCACTTAAAACAACGGATATAGCCCCACTCCATAAAGGTGGCAGCAAAGCATTAGCTAAGAACTATTGACCAATAGCTCTGACGACCTCCCACATCATAAAAATCTTTGAAAGAGTGCTAAGAAGCAGGATTGCAAATCACCTGGATTCCCAAAATCTGCACAATCCAGGGCAACATGGGTTCAGGGCAGGTCGCTCCTGCCTCTCACAACTACTGGATCACTATGACATGGCCTTGGATGCACTGGTAGAAAATCAGAATGCAGATGTAATATACACAGACTTTGCAAAAGCATTTGACAAATGCGATCATGGCGTAATAGCCCATAAAATACGTGCTAAAGGAATAACTGGGAAAGTGGGGAGATGGATCATTCAACTTCCTAACAAATCGAACACAAAGAGTAGTGGTCAACAGAGTTAAATCGGAGGCTGCCATAGTGAAGAGCTCTGTTCCACAAGGCACAGTACTCGCCCCCATCTTATTCCTTATCCTCATATCAGACATAGACAGAGATATACACCACAGCACCGTATCATCCTTTGCGGATGATACTAGGATCTGCATGAGGCTGTCATCTGCTGAGGACGCGGTTAACCTCCAAGATATAAACAGTTTTCCAGTGGGCAACGGTAAACAATATGATGTTCAATGAGGACAAATTCCAACTACTCCGTTATGGAAAACTGGAGGAGATAATAACTAGAACAGAGTATACTACTGACTCCGGCCATACAATAGAGCGGAAAAATAATGTAAGGGACCTGGGGGTAATGTCTGACGATCTCACTTTCAAGGATCACAACAGCACCACGATCGCACGTGCAAAGAAAATGATAGGATGGATAATGAGAACTTTCAAAACGAGAGATGCCAAGCCAATGATGATCCTTTTCAAATCACTTGTTCTCTCTAGGCTGGAATACTGCTGTACATTAACATCTCCATTCAAAGCAGGTGAAATCGCAGATCTAGAGAGTGTACAGAGATCCTTTACTGCACGTATAAGTTCTGTCAAGCACCTTAACTACTGGGAACGCTTGGAAGCACTTGACTTGTACTCGTTGGAACGCAGGAGGGAGAGATATATCATAATCTACACTTGGAAAATCTTGGAAGGAATGGTCCCAAATCTGCACACAGAAATCACTCCCTACGAAAGTAAAAGACTGGGCAGGCGATGCAAAATGCCCCCAATAAAAAGTAGGGGCGCCACTGGTACACTAAGGGAAAACACCATAAGTGTCCGGGGCCCAAAACTGTTCAACAGCCTCCCATCAAGCATTAGGGGAATTGCCAATAAACCCCTGGCTGCCTTCAAGAGAGAGCTGGACAGATACCTAAAGTCAGTGCCGGATCAGCCGGCCTGTGGCTCGTACGTTGGACTGCGTGCGGCCAGCAGTAACAGCCTAGTTGATCAGGCCCTGATCCATCGGGAGGCTTGGTCATGGACCGGGCCGCGGGGGCGTTGATCCCCGGAATAACCTCCAGGTAACCTCCAGATGAACCACCAGTTAGCAACAATCATGAGATGAACCACTAGTTACTAAGAACCATGGCATGAACCACCAGTTAGTCAGCAACAATCATGAGATGAACCACCAGTTAGTCAGCAACAATCATGAGATGAACCACTAGTTACTAACCATGGCATGAACCACTAGTTAGTAACAGCAACAATCATGAGATGAACCGCCAGTTGGTGAGCAATATACTTTAAACACTACATACTACACAGAAACACCCGTTGCAGAGACCACAATAGGTAAATATTCGTTATAGAAAGCTTAATAGCCAGAAAAATTCATTACAGAAATCTAATAGACAGAAACATTCATTACAGAAATACTAATAGACAGAAACATTCATTACAGAAATCTAATAGACAGAAACATTCATTACAGAAATACTAATAGACAGAAACATTCATTACAGAAATACTAATACACAGAAACATTCATTACAGAAATACTAATAGACAGAAACATTCATTACAGAAATACTAATAGACAGAAACATTCATTACAGAAATCTAATAGACAGAAACATTCATTACAGAAATCTAATAGACAGAAACATTCATTACAGAAATACTAATAGACAGAAACATTCATTACAGAAATCTAATAGACAGAAACATTCATTACAGAAATACTAATAGACAGAAACATTCATTACAGAAATACTAATAGACAGAAACATTCATTACAGAAATACTAATAGACAGAAACATTCATTACAGAAATCTAATAGACAGAAACATTCATTACAGAAATACTAATAGACAGAAACATTCATTACAGAAATACTAATAGACAGAAACATTCATTACAGAAATACTAATAGACAGAAACATTCATTACAGAAATACTAATAGACAGAAACATTCATTACAGAAATACTAATAGACAGAAAGGCTCTACAGAATTTTAAGACAACGCACGTAAAAAATATCTTAAAAAAAAAAATGCTAAAAGAAAAGGGGAGACAATCAGGCTTGAAATATAAGAAGGAAATGACGAAGAGGAAAAGGAAGAGTAAGAGGAAGATTAGCTCCAATGCCTTGGAACAAGAACACATTCACCGACAGATCGACGCGACAACTGAAAATACTGATTTAGAAGGTACTCGTCACCAGACCATGATTAATTTTGATTTAGAGCACTCAATCCCGTTACTCTTTAAATTTAGTTAAAAGGAACCCAAATCTTGTACCTTTTAGTTTACTTGTCTCAGTCTTCCTCGTATGTAGCAGGTTCGCCGGTCTTGTCCCGGCCCGGGTCTTTTCCAAATGGTGACCAAGTCTTCCTTAATTTAGATTTATTATTATTATTATAAAAAAGAAACGCTAAACCACAAGGGCTATACAGCGTTGCTTAATTTAGATTTAGAAGGTGCTAATCATTAAGTCTTCCTTAATTTAGATTTAGAAGGTACTAATCCTTAAGTCTTCCTTAATTTAGATTCAGAAGGTAGTCATCCTTTAGTCTTCCTTATTTAAATTTAGAAGTTACTCATCCCTAAGTCTTCCTTAATTTAGATTTATAAGGCACACATCCCTGAGTCTACCTTTAATTTAGAATTTATTCACCCTGGGTCTTACTTTTAATTTAGATTTACAAGGAACACATCCCTGACTCTCCCCTTAATTTAGATTTAGACTTGACTCACCCCTGGGTCTCCACCGAAGACAGCCTCACCCACGAAGTCAGTGAAGTAGAGAGAGTAACAGACGAGTGACATCCAGCAGAAGAGGTTAGTGAGGCACAGTACTCGTAGTGACTGGGGCGTCACGCATCAGCCGAAGAAAAAGAACATTATTTTTGGTTTCAAAGGATTATAAATACGTACATATAGATTTTTGTTTGATAACAATGAAGATTTAACAAAGTTAATGCTTGTTAAGGTTTTTAAATGAGCTAAGTAGGAGCTCTTAGCTTATAAATGAAGGCAGGAACTCTTGGTCTAACCCTGTAAAAAAAAAAAAACTCGTGTGTGTATGAGAGAGAAAAATTAGTGTACAACATACCAGCTAGGATGAACTAGATAGGCTAATATATTATCTCTTATTAACTAAATAATTTGAACCGTGACTAGGGTGAGTGAGCCTCGTCCTGCCAATCAAATCCCTATCCCTATAATTTTTTCAAAATTTTAATTTCTTCCACAAAATTGCACCAACTCGATTTTAAATTGAATATTTTCGTTGTGTATTTTTTTCTTCCAGGATCGTTGCTTCATTGGTTTATTAGGTTTAATGCCTATCGACTACACGAAGAGAAAATAAGAAAATTAAAATGGTTATGGATAATTTGAGAAAATTATAAGATTTTTTACCCATGTTCTAGTCTTCAATCGGCTTTTTTAACACCTGTAAGAAATAATAAATCGAACTAATAATTTGACCATATCTGTTGTCTTTTGGGGAGAAAAAACGATTCAACTCTAAAAAAAATCCCTGAGCGCATGATTTTCAAGTTTTTTTTTTAATTTCCATTGTGTTTAAAAATGACATCACGAGCTTTTTAACATATACTGATTAAGAAAATGGCTAAAATAATTAAATATAGTTAATTTTAACATACTGTAAGTTTTTGTGTAACCTAACCTTCAATGGAAGTTTTGAATACAAACTAATCATCGTCTTATCAACTGCCCGAAGTCAATTCTAGATTAATAGATCCAGCCCCAGCTCCTACAAGACCAACTCTAGATTCTAGACCAATAGAATCCCTCCAGATTGTAAACGACCTATCCTAAGTCCATAATAGGTCAGTAGGACCCCTCTAGAATCTGTAGGGCTCATCCTAGATCCATTCCAGCTGAGCACAGAACTACCTCATGCTAGAGGACTCACCCTCGGCATATAGACGATGGAGAGAAGATATTGTCGTAGAGTGGCTCCAGGTACTGCTGCTTCATCAGTTACCTCTGCTACTACCGCCTCCTTCATCACCTCCGTCGGGTCCTGTAGAATATTTAACGAATAGGACGTGTGATCTTGTTCAGTGCTCCAGCTTTAAGAACGTTATATAAAAAAAAACACTTAAAACGCCTCAATACTTTTAAGGAATCATCTGAAAATTGCCCCAACTGAAAAAAAGTGAAATATACCTTAAATTCTTGCATAGGTAAGGTACATTAACTCCATCGATACACTGGACCTGAATGGCGTTCTGTGAGCGACAGTGAAGAAACCACACGTTATAGAGCAAGGTCTTATTGGCACAACGTTAATAAAGCTCTACACAGCGTAACGTTGTGCCATTAAATTTGTTCTACGACGTGTCTTGTCTACAACGATTACCTTCTCTTTGGATCTGTTTTCTGTTGGTGTTTTACAACAGTCTCGCCCTTATTCATTTTTACATTTACTGGCATTATTGTATGTTGTAATTGGTTTGATCTGGTTATTAAGCGACAATCTAACCTAACCAAACCTAATCTAAATACTGTATGTAGAGAAATTAACTTGAACATTTACGTGGGAAACCAATGATTGCGTTAGGATGAAACATTGGCCTTGGATACGGGCTTTATTTTTGCTTATTTAAACCCACCTGCTGGTTAAAAGAGGTCTCCTGGTGTTGCTGCTGTTCCTGCTGGTGTAGTTGCTGGCCCTGCTTCTCGCCGTAGCCCTGATAGTTCTCTGCTTCAATTCCTTCATCCACACGGTGACCATTTTGCTGTTGAGAGGCCAAACATCACTAGCCTGAACTATAGCTGTTGATACATTCACGAACAATGTTTCAGATCATACACTCAATGTGAAGCCTAGCAGACCCGTGTGGATCATTCTGTACAAGAAGTTCTGGATACCTGGAGGGCGTTTCGGGCCAGGCCTCGCGGTGGATCAGGGCCTAATCAACCAGGCTGTTACTGATCGCACTCAAACCAACGTACATACCATAGCCCGGCTGGTCAGGTACTGACTTTAGGTGCCTGTCCAGCTCCCTCTTAAGACTACCAAACTGTTCTCGCGAGGAAACAATTATACACATGATGTAGGGACTCCCATATTGCTTCTGGTGTGTTTTGTCTGACAAAAATAAATACCTATATATAATTGTTTTGCATGATGGTAGGATTGCTGGTTTCTTTTTCTGTCTCATAAACACGCTAAGATAACAGGGATATCTTGCTACTCCTACTAACACTTTGGTCACACTTCACAGACACGCACATGCATATATATATATACATACATCTAGGTTTTTCTCCTTTTTCTAAATAGCTCTTGTTCTTTTTTATTTCTTCTATTGTCCATGGGGAAGTGGAAAAGAATCTTTCCTCCGTAAGCCATGCGTGTCGTATGAGGCGACTAAAATGCCGGGAGCAATGGGCTAGTAACCCCTTCTCCTGTATACAATTACTAAAAAAGAGAAGAAGAAAAACTTTATAAAACTGGGTTGCTTAAATGTGCGTGGATGTAGTGCGGATGACAAGAAACAGATGATTGCTGATGTTATGAATGAAAAGAAGTTGGATGTCCTGGCCCTAAGCGAAACAAAGCTGAAGGGGGTAGGAGAGTTTCAGTGGGGGGAAATAAATGGGATTAAATCTGGAGTATCTGAGAGAGTTAGAGCAAAGGAAGGGGTAGCAGTAATGTTAAATGATCAGTTATGGAAGGAGAAAAGAGAATATGAATGTGTAAATTCAAGAATTATGTGGATTAAAGTAAAGGTTGGATGCGAGAAGTGGGTCATAATAAGCGTGTATGCACCTGGAGAAGAGAGGAATGCAGAGGAGAGAGAGAGATTTTGGGAGATGTTAAGTGAATGTATAGGAGCCTTTGAACCAAGTGAGAGAGTAATTGTGGTAGGGGACTTGAATGCTAAAGTAGGAGAAACTTTTAGAGAGGGTGTGGTAGGTAAGTTTGGGGTGCCAGGTGTAAATGATAATGGGAGCCCTTTGATTGAACTTTGTATAGAAAGGGGTTTAGTTATAGGTAATACATATTTTAAGAAAAAGAGGATAAATAAGTATACACGATATGATGTAGGGCGAAATGACAGTAGTTTGTTGGATTATGTATTGGTAGATAAAAGACTGTTGAGTAGACTTCAGGATGTACATGTTTATAGAGGGGCCACAGATATATCAGATCACTTTCTAGTTGTAGCTACACTGAGAGTAAAAGGTAGATGGGATACAAGGAGAATAGAAGCATCAGGGAAGAGAGAGGTGAAGGTTATATAAACTAAAAGAGGAGGCAGTTAGGGTAAGATATAAACAGCTATTGGAGGATAGATGGGCTAATGAGAGCATAGGCAATGGGGTCGAAGAGGTATGGGGTAGGTTTAAAAATGTAGTGTTAGAGTGTTCAGCAGAAGTTTGTGGTTACAGGAAAGTGGGTGCAGGAGGGAAGAGGAGCGATTGGTGGAATGATGATGTAAAGAGAGTAGTAAGGGAGAAAAAGTTAGCATATGAGAAGTTTTTACAAAGTAGAAGTGATGCAAGGAGGGAAGAGTATATGGAGAAAAAGAGAGAAGTTAAGAGAGTGGTGAAGCAATGTAAAAAGAGAGCAAATGAGAGAGTGGGTGAGATGTTATCAACAAATTTTGTTGAAAATAAGAAAAAGTTTTGGAGTGAGATTAACAAGTTAAGAAAGCCTAGAGAACAAATGGATTTGTCAGTTAAAAATAGGAGAGGAGAGTTATTAAATGGAGAGTTAGAGGTATTGGGAAGATGGAGGGAATATTTTGAGGAATTGTTAAATGTTGATGAAGATAGGGAAGCTGTGATTTCGTGTATAGGGCAAGGAGGAATAACATCTTGTAGGAGTGAGGAAGAGCCAGTTGTGAGTGTGGGGGAAGTTCGTGAGGCAGTAGGTAAAATGAAAGGGGGTAAGGCAGCCGGGATTGATGGGATAAAGATAGAAATGTTAAAAGCAGGTGGGGATATAGTTTTGGAGTGGTTGGTGCAATTATTTAATAAATGTATGGAAGAGGGTAAGGTACCTAGGGATTGGCAGAGAGCATGCATAGTTCCTTTGTATAAAGGCAAAGGGGACAAAAGAGAGTGCAAAAATTATAGGGGGATAAGTCTGTTGAGTGTACCTGGTAAAGTGTATGGTAGAGTTATAATTGAAAGAATTAAGAGTAAGACGGAGAATAGGATAGCAGATGAACAAGGAGGCTTTAGGAAAGGTAGGGGGTGTGTGGACCAGGTGTTTACAGTGAAACATATAAGTGAACAGTATTTAGATAAGGCTAAAGAGGTCTTTGTGGCATTTATGGATTTGGAAAAGGCGTATGACAGGGTGGATAGGGGGGCAATGTGGCAGATGTTGCAAGTGTATGGTGTAGGAGGTAGGTTACTGAAAGCAGTGAAGAGTTTTTACGAGGATAGTGAGGCTCAAGTTAGAGTATGTAGGAAAGAGGGAAATTTTTTCCCAGTAAAAGTAGGCCTTAGACAAGGATGTGTGATGTCACCGTGGTTGTTTAATATATTTATAGATGGGGTTGTAAGAGAAGTAAATGCGAGGGTCTTGGCAAGAGGCGTGGAGTTAAAAGATAAAGAATCACACACAAAGTGGGAGTTGTCACAGCTGCTCTTTGCTGATGACACTGTGCTCTTGGGAGATTCTGAAGAGAAGTTGCAGAGATTGGTGGATGAATTTGGTAGGGTGTGCAAAAGAAGAAAATTAAAGGTGAATACAGGAAAGAGTAAGGTTATGAGGATAACAAAAAGATTAGGTGATGAAAGATTGAATATCAGATTGGAGGGAGAGAGTATGGAGGAGGTGAACGTATTCAGATATTTGGGAGTGGACGTGTCAGCGGATGGGTCTATGAAAGATGAGGTGAATCATAGAATTGATGAGGGAAAAAGAGTGAGTGGTGCACTTAGGAGTCTGTGGAGACAAAGAACTTTGTCCTTGGAGGCAAAGAGGGGAATGTATGAGAGTATAGTTTTACCAACGCTCTTATATGGGTGTGAAGCGTGGGTGATGAATGTTGCAGCGAGGAGAAGGCTGGAGGCAGTGGAGATGTCATGTCTGAGGGCAATGTGTGGTGTGAATATAATGCAGAGAATTCGTAGTTTGGAAGTTAGGAGGAGGTGCGGGATTACCAAAACTGTTGTCCAGAGGGCTGAGGAAGGGTTGTTGAGGTGGTTCGGACATGTAGAGAGAATGGAGCGAAACAGAATGACTTCAAGAGTGTATCAGTCTGTAGTGGAAGGAAGGCGGGGTAGGGGTCGGCCTAGGAAGGGTTGGAGGGAGGGGGTTAAAGGAGGTTTTGTGTGCGAGGGGCTTGGACTTCCAGCAGGCATGCTTGAGCGTGTTTGATAGGAGTGAATGGAGACAAATGGTTTTTAATACTTGACGTGCTGTTGGAGTGTGAGCAAAGTAACATTTATGAAGGGATTCAGGGAAACCGGCAGGCCGGACTTGAGTCCTGGAGATGGGAAGTACAGTGCCTGCACTCTGAAGGAGGGGTGTTAATGTTGCAGTTTAAAAACTGTAGTGTAAAGCACCCTTCTGGCAAGACAGTGATGGAGTGAATGATGGTGAAAGTTTTTCTTTTTCGGGCCACCCTGCCTTGGTGGGAATCGGCCGGTGTGATAATAAAAAAAAAAAAAAAAAAATATAACTGTGGATGACGCAAAAACGATGTGAGAAATAAAAGGTAAAGAAGATGAAAGAGCTTAATAATAAGACCTGGACAGACTTCAGGAATGGTCATAAAAGTGATTGGTGTAATTTAGCCCAAGGAAAAAGAGCGTTAGGAACTACGAGATAGTGAAATAAGGCCCAAGACAAAGTTCCAGACTGTTGGGATGCAAATAACTGAAACAGATGACAAAAAAAAAAAAAAAAAAAAAAAAAAAAACGCTCTGGATAAACTCGCAAATATAAAAGTACCATGTCTAGCAATGGTATTATATACCGACAAGTATATTAATAAGACAATGTGCAGTTTACTGTAATTTATTGACAGAATGTTTCGTCCACCTAGAACTTTATCAATTCTCACTGATAATTGATAAAGTTCCTGGTGAACGAAATATCCTCTCAATAAAATAACATAAACCAAATACCTTGTCTTATTACAAATGGATTTGGACACGTTGAAGGACTGGTCTGACAACTGGATAGTATTATAATTTACTCACGGCAAATGCAGTTATATAAATCGAAGAAGGGCAAAGATGACCGGAATCAGAGTACAAGCTCGGGGACAAAGGCTATAAACCTCCCTGAAAGAGAAGGAAGGACCCTGGAGTGAGCACAGTTCCAAGTATTTCGCCTGAGGAATACTTCAACCAAATAACCGCTACAGCGAACACCAGACTGGCAAATTTAATGATAGTTCTATGGAACGTCAACAAGGAAGCAATCACGACCCTATACAGGGCAGAATGCAGCGCCAGTATGGAACCTATATCTTAAAGCACGTACAGAAGTTAGAAAGTGAGGATAAAGGGTAGATCAAGAGTAACATTACGAAGTATAAAAAAATGAGAGGAACTGATAAGGTGGAGAGGACGAGTCTGCTTGAGAGGTGGCTCACGGGTACACGAAGTCAGAGAGATGCTAGGAAATGTTTCTTTAGCCTTAATTAAGATGTGGAACGACCTAGACTGCGAAGCGCTAAAGTGGGGAGAGCCACATATAGTTTTAAGAATAGGTACGATTGGACTCACGCAATCAGGAAAGTAAACCCAGTAGTAGCCAGCGGAGAGGCGGGGCCAGGAGCTGAGATTCGACGCCTGCAACCACAAATAGGTGAACACACGCGCACATAACGCCATCCATTGTCCCCCAAGAAAATGCACCTCATTTGGCTTCACTAGATATGCAAATTATAAATAATGAGAGGATTTAACCATCAACGTGTGTGGGGTAATCCCTGAGTCATGGCAGCTTAGTGGTGGATCCATGACTGCTGCTGCTGCCTCTCGTTGCCTCTTTCTCTTACCTACTTGCGAGAGGTGATCGTATTCTGCGCCGCTAGCTTCCGTTTTCTATGGCGTCACCGTTGCTTCTTGCTTTTATGGTGGTTAACTGATATACTCACTGACGTAGCTTAAGCGCCACTTTCCTACCTTGAAACTTGCCTATTTGCACTCTTTTCATAAATAAACCGCACTTAGGAGAGAAGAAACTTTAGGATGACTTTTGGTCAGTCCAGGACTAGTGTAAATCACAATTGATCGAGAAAAGGGCGGAGAAGGCCAGAAGACAGAACCAACCTCCCAAAGCACATACCATGAGGGAGAGAGAGTTAGGGCGAAGAGGAGGCTTTCTCTCGATGGAACCATACCCTCCTTTGCCATCCTCCATGGTACCATCATCTCGAGTCAGCGGCTGGTCCACAGACATGCCCTACCATGCCCAAGAAAAGCATTATTAGTTATAATACAAGTTAGTAATGTGTGTGTGTGTGTGTGTGTGTGTGTGTGTGTGTGTGTGTGTGTGTGTGTGTGTGAGTGTGTGTGTGTGTGTGTGTGTGTGTGTGTGTGTGTGTGTGTGTGTGTGTGTGTGTGTGTGTGTGTGTGTACTCACCTATTTGTACTCACCTATTTGTGGTTGCAGGGGTCGAGTCACAGCTCCTGGCCCCGCCTCTTCGCTGATTGCTACTAGGTCCTCTCTCTCCCTGCCCCATGAGCTCTATCATACCTCGCCTTAAAACTATGTATGGTTCCTGCCTCCACTACATCACTTTCTAGGCTATTCCATGGCCTGACTACTCTATGACTGAAGAAATACTTCCTAACATCCCTTTGATTCGTCTGAGTCTTCAACTTCCAATTGTGACCTCTTGTGTCTGTGTCCCATCTCTGGAACATCCCGTCTTTGTCCACCTTGTCTATTCCGCGCAGTATTTTATATGTCGTTATCATGTCTCCCCTGACCCTCCTGTCCTCCAGTGTCGTCAGGCCGATTTCCCTCAACCTTTCTTCGTAGGACAATCCCCGTAGCTCTGGGACTAGTCTTGTTGCAAACCTTTGCACTTTCTCTAATTTCTTGATGTGCTTGACTAGGTGTGGATTCCAAACTGGTGCTGCATACTCCAGTATGGGCCTTACGTAGATGGTATACAGAGTCTTAAACGAATCCTTACTGAGGTATCGGAACGCTATCCGTAGGTTTGCCAGGCGCCCGTATGCTGCAGCAGTTTATCTGATTGATGTGCGCCTCAGGAGATATGCTCGGTGTTATACTCACCCCCAGATCTTTTTCCTTGAGTGAGGTTTGCAGTCTTTGGCCATCTAAACTATATTGTGTCTGCGGTCTTCTTTGCCCTTCCCCAATCTTCATGACTTTGCATTTGGCAGGGTTAAATTCAAGGAGCCAGTTGCTGGACCAGGCTTGTAGCCTGTCCAGGTCTCTTTGTAGTCCTGCCTGATCCTCGTCCGATTTGATTCTTCTCATTAACTTCGCATCATCTGCAAACAAGGACACTTCTGAGTCTATCCCTTCCGTTATGTCGTTCACATATACCAAGAACAGCACAGGTCCTAGGACTGACCCCTGTGGAACCCTGCTTGTCACAGGCGCCCACTCTGACACCTCGTCGCGTACCATGACTCGTTGTTGCCTCCCTGTCAGATATTCTCTGATCCATTGCAGTGCCTTTCCTGTTATGTGTGCCTGATCCACTAGCTTTTACAGTAACCTCTTGTGAGGAACTATGTCGAAGGCCTTCTTGCAGTCCAAAAATATGCAGTCGATCCACCCCTCTCTCTCTTGTCTTACTTCTGTCACCTTGTCATAAAACTCTAGTAGGTTTGTGACACAGGATTTTCCTTCCCTGAAACCGTGCTGGTTGTCAATTATACACTCGTTTCTTGTGAATTCCCCATCACCCTTCCTCAGTCTGATTACCTGGTCCTTGACTGTTGTTTTCCTCCTGATGTGGCTGTACAACAGCTTTGGGTCAGTCTTTACTTTTGATGCTATGTCATTTTCATATTGTCTCTGAGCCTCCCTTCTTATCTGTGCATAATCGTTTCTGGCTCTTCGGCTGATTTCTTTATTTTCCTGAGTTCTCTGTCTTCTGTACCTTTTCCATTCTCTAGTACACCTAGTTTTTGCCTCCCTACACCTTTGGGTGAACCAAGGACTCGTTCTGTTCTTCCCATTATTTCTTTTTCCCTTGGGAACAAACCTCTCCTCTGCCTCCTTGCATTTTGTTGTTACATAGTCCATCATTTCTTGTACTGGTTTTCCTGTCAGTTCCCTTTCCCACTGAATGTCTTGAAGGAAGTTCCTCATGCCTGAGTAGTTCCCCTTTTGTAGTTTGGTTTTTCCCAGCCTATTCCTGCTACTCTCTCCACTTGGAGCTCAACTATGTAGTCGAAGCACAGAACTACATGATCACTAGCTCCCAGGGGCCTTTCATTCATGATACCCTCGATGTCCGAACTACTCATGGTGAATACAAGGTCCAGCCTTGCTGGTTCATCCTCTCCTGTCTCTCTGGTAGTGTCTCTAACATGTTGATGCATGAGGTTTTCCAGTACCACATCCATCATCTTGGTTCTCCATGTTTCGGGACCCCCATGGGGCTCCAGGTTTTCCCAGTCAATCTCCTTGTGATTGAAATCACCCATAACTAGTAACTTTGCTCCCCCCATGTGTGCTCTCCTGGCCACCTCGGCTAGTGTGTCGATCATTGCTCTGTTGCTCTCATCGTATTCTTCTCTTGGCCTCCTGCAGTTCTGTGGTGGGTTGTACATTACTGCAATTATCACCTTATGTCCCTCAGACTGGATTGTTCCTACTAAGTAGTCCCTTTCGCCCGTGCCATCCATTCCTTCCATTTTCTCAAAACCCCACTGGTTTTTAATGAGCAGTGCAACTCCTCCTCCCCCTCTCCTCCCTCTGTCTTTCCTGAGGATTTGATATCAGATGGAAAGATTGAATCTGTTATTATTCTGGTGAGTTTTGTTTCTGTGAGTGCTATTATGTCTGGGGATGTCTCTTTGATTCTTTCGTGCCACTCCTCATACTTGTTTGTTATTCCATTTGCATTTGTATACCACACCTTCAACTTCTTTTCTAAGACTGTGGTCTGGGAGGTATATTGGGGTTGGGGAAGTGGGAGACCTGGTAAGGAACTATGGGTTGTTGCTGTGGGGGTGGAGTTTGTAATGTAGTGGGTGGGGGCATTGGATGTGGCATGGGTGTTTTGATTTAGAGTGTTTGGTTGCACTGGGGTTGACCTGGTTGGGAGGCTTCTATAGGAAGTTGTGAGGGAGGCTGTATTTGATCTTCTTCCTGGGTCTGGGATCTCCTGTCTGTCTTCTCCATCCCCTCTCTTTCCTCCTTTCGCCTTTGTACCATCTCTCTCAGTTTCTGCCTTTCTTCTTGTGTTCTGTCGCGGTCGAGATACACCTTCCTGTAGGCCGGCATGTCCCTTAATCGTGCTTTCTCCTGCAGGATCTTGGTCCGAGTCGCTTCTGCCTTGAAGGTCACTCTTACTGGCCGGGTTCTTTTTTTTAAAAACCCCCCTATTCTCCGAAAATTTTCCAGCTGGGTCATGTCGTCTTCTCCTATTGCTTTCATGATGCTTTCAATTGCTTTTTTTCCCCTTGTTTTCTTGCTTCATATGTTTCCCCTTCAACTTCCTGGAGCCCATACCAAAGACTGACCTCAACCTTTCATTTTCCCACTGCATATCCCTGTGTATCCCCTCATTTACTTTGGTTTCCTCCACTGCAGCTTTCCTTTCATCAGTTTCACTGGCTAATGTATTTGGGCTCAGTGGCCTGTCATTTTCCCTTCTCGGCTTTCCTTGGGCTCTGTTGTTGTCTGTTAGGGCCTCCACATAAAGCTTAGCTCTTTCGTTTGCTACAGTCTCCTCTGTGTGTGTGTGTGTGTGTGTGTGTGTGTGTGTGTGTGTGTGTGTGTGTGTGTGTGTGTGTGTGTGTGTGTGTGTGTGTGTGTGTGTGTGTGTGTGTGTGTTTTAATCAATAAATTGTTGAGTGTAGTTAGACTAGTCTACTAATTTACCTAATTTGTTATTTTGGTAAATAATTTATAAGTAGTCTACAATTGTTTAAATTATTCACTTTCTCAGATACTTACTTAAATTGTTAGCTGGGTAACTATAAGCTGATACTGATATCTACTGAGTCGCCGTGATTCAGTCCACGGCACGGGTTTAAACACTGGGCATGTTTCTTTACACATGATGCCCCTGTTCACCTAGCAGTAAGTAGGTACCTGGGTGTTCGTAGACTGTTGTGGGTCGCATCCTGGGGGACAAGATTAGAAAGGACCCCAAAAACACACGCACACACACAGCAAAGAGCACCAGAGGGCAGACTCACCAGCCTCGCATTAAGAAAGAAAGCAAACTGGTAAAACACTCTTTATTGTCAGGGAAGGTTCGTTTGCGGGGAGCTCACAGCGCCGCGATTAAACCATAAAACACACGCACAAACACCAAGACAGAATTGTTACACCTTAGAGCTGTGTCCCTTCTAGACCACCCAAAACCCTCTTAAAAACCTCCCCCCTTCTTTAAACGCTCCCCTTCTTTAAATATTTTCTCTGAACCATCTCCGTCTCTAAACTCTCTCATTTATATCCCCTTCTTTACACCCTCTCCATTTTTTAAATCATCTTTTAAACCATTTTCTTCTGTAAATTCTCTTCAGTTTTCATGCAATTTTGAAACTAAAATCATATTGTTGAGTATCAGTGTTTCTTCTGGTGTTCTGTATTTAAAATTTCTAGCTAATAGCCTGGCATTGTCTTACATTTGTTTACAAGTGTGGAGAGAGAGAAGAGAGAGAGAGAGAGAGAGAGAGGAGAGAGAGAGAGAGAGAGAGAGAGAGAGAGAGAGAGACTGACTTACCTTCTGCAGCTGAGCCTTGGTAGAGTTCTGCAGTACTTCGAGAGGGATCTCCCTCACTGAGTACAATGTACTCAGCACACACACGATAAAGATGAGCGTCACCAGAGTGAACACCGCTCGCACGTGTCCGCCCAACATCACTCCTGGTGTGGGTGTAAATGTGTGCGTGTATGTGTGGATGCGGGCGTGAGAAATAGGTGTGGGCGTGGAGGTAGAAGGAATAATCAGTACCTTGGTAAAATATATGGAGGATTACATTAATTACAATATGAAAAGTCATATATGAAGTTAAAAATCATTGTATTTTGGAACTTTGCGATAATTATGCAAATCGTGCAGTGTTAAGTAGGTTGTGCAATGGAGACAAATATATTTTGTGCCAATGGGGAGGAAATTCTTTTTTTTCGGCTTAAAAGCATAACTGAACCTAACCTAACTTATATTGGGGATAAAGTTAGCTTAGACTAGATTAATGAGAGTTCCTTTTTTTGTTATATAAAAAAAATCACATTGGACCAAAATATAACTGTCTCCATGGACAACTCATTTAATAAGGAAATTTTATATAATAAAAAAACACAAGGACCTCATCTCCATTTTGATCATATGGAGGACTATATAAATTTATATATATGGCAGATTTTGACTCACGAAATCGTAATGACACGATTGCAAACAAACCATACCCAGGCCGGGATTGAACCCGCGGTCAGAGAGTCTCAAAACTCCAGCCCGTCGCGTTAGTCACTAGACCAGCTAGCCACAATAAGATTCGTCCAACTAGGTATATTTCTACACCATAGGAAGGTTAGCACAGGCACCACTTTGACCACAAATGCAAGTTTTTACAGACGAATCTCCAGCTAGCGTGGCCGTGACGAACTCTAGCTCAAGTCCCCTCACTGCCGTCAACATGACTCACGAAATCGTAATGACACGATTGCAAACAAACCATACCCCGGTCGGGATTGAACCCGCGGTCAGAGAGTCTCAAAACTCCAGACCGGGGTATGGTTTTTTATGGCAGATTTTATTAATCAAGATATATAGAGGATTATATTAAATTAAATATAGAGATATGATTGTAATATTCGTCAAGACAGTTCTGACTCGGGTCTTATCTCTCGATGACCAGTTGGTACCCAATAATAATAGAGAGAACAGTCCTGATTTATATATACGGAGGACTATAGTATATAAATTTAATATGGGAGACTATATTAATTTAAATCAATACACAGGTGTACAATAGGTATGTGCTATCTTACATAATTATTGTTTATTTTTGTGTTCAGGTTTAAACAGAACATCTGAGGTGACAGACTCACTACCTGTAGAACACCACCAGTTCACCTCTACCCGAGGAAAACCACCTGTTTTCTTCTTTCTGCTATTCCGTATTCTTGCTCCCACCTCTCCTCGCTCTGGTAATCTCTCTTTCTCGTGCTATTTATTAACGATTAAAAAACTATTGATTACTGCCCACGAGCGCTGCGGACACAACTCATGAATATACGTTGCAGATCTCTCTCTCACCTATGACTGTAGCATCCCAGTTTATACCGCCCATGGCGTAGCCAAATCCACCCCCGAGGCCCGCCATGATGGTGAAGGTGGACAGACCGATGGCATGATCCTCTGTAGGGAAGCAAGGAAATTCTGTTACGTATTTATTTCTATATAAAAATAATTACACTCCTGTTTCCCGCTTTCTATTAATTTCATTATTATTATTTTTTGAAGTGTATTTAGGTACAGGTACACATAAGTACAGTTATTACAATTATCATATATAATAGCATGTATAAATTACCTAGGATAACAGTCAGTAACTTAGTTCCACTGGAGTCCTTACTAATATTAAAAATAATTTTCATTGTCAACAACTGTATTTATTATTATTTTTTATGTTCCTTCTGCAATTTCAAAATTAATCCCTTCGTGAGGTTATCTATGGAAGACTTATTTTACATTAAAGAAAATATTGCTTAGAGGTGAATGAAGTCTTAGTTTCTCCATATATTCCTTCAGTCAAGTCCAGGGTGATAAGATTTTTGTTCGGATTTTTAACCGCGAAGGGTTAGCCACCCAGGATAACCCAAGAAAGGCAGTGCGTCATCGAGGGACTGTCTTATTTCCAATAGGGTCCTCAATCTTGTCCCCCAGGATGCTACCCACACCAGTAGACTAACACCCAGGTACCTACTTACTTGCTAGATGAACGGGGGCAACAAGTGTAAAGAAACGTCCAATATTGCCACCCTTCTGGTTGTTAGGTAAGACACATATGCAACAGTTAGGTATCTTTATTTGGAAACGTTTCGCCTACACAGTAGGCTTCTTTAGTCGAGTACAGAAAAGTTGATAGAAGCAGAAGAGACTTGAAGACGATGTAATCAGTCCATCACCCTTAAAGTTTTGAGGTGGTCAGTCCCTCAGTCTGGAGAAGAGCATTGTTCCACCCTTCTCAGGGATCGACCCACGGACACAGCGTGTGAAACTAGAGCATGGAATACCAGGCCTCGGGTCACCAAATACACCATGCGGTACCATTGTTTTTTGTAATCGGTACCCAACAGTAGTTTTTTCGTGTGATAAATTCAGTGGAATCCATCTTTTGTGGCTGTAGGTAGTCAGATTCCTGGTAATTTAGTCATTTTGTTAAAATCTACTCCGGAGTTTTCAGGTTTATGTTATGTTATGTTGTGTTATGTTATGTTATGTTATGTTGTGTTATGTTGTGTTGTGTTATGTTATGTTATGTTGTGTTATGTTATGTTATGTTGTGTTGTGTTATGTTGTGTTATGTTATGTTGTGTTATGTTATGTTGTTATGTTATGTTGTATTATGTTATGTTATGTTGTATTATGTTATGTTATGTTATGTTGTATTATGTTATGTTGTATTATGTTATGTTATGTTGTATTATGTTATGTTATGTTATGTTATGTTGTGTTATGTTATGTTATGTTGCGTTATGTTGTGTTATGTTATGTTGTGTTGTGTTATGTTATGTTATGTTGTGTTATGTTGTGTTATGTTATGTTATGTTGTGTTATGTTATGTTATGTAATGTTGTGTTATGTTGTGTTATGTTGTGTTATGTTATGTTGTGTTATGTTATGTTGTATCTTGTTATGTTATGTTATGTTGTATTATGTTATGTTATGTTGTATTATGTTATGTTGTGTTATGTTGTGTTGTGTTATGTTATGTTGTGTTATGTTATGTTGTATTATGTTATGTTATGTTGTATTATGTTATGTTGTATTATGTTATGTTGTGTTATGTTATGTTGCGTTATGTTGTGTTATGTTATGTTATGTTGTATTATGTTATGTTATGTTGTGTTGTGTTGTGTTATGTTGTGTTATGTTGTGTTATGTTGTGTTATGCTGTGTTATGTTGTGTTATGTTGTTATGTTATGTTATGTTGTATTATGTTGTGTTATGTTATGTTGTATTATGTTATGTTATGTTGTATTATGTTATGTTATGGTGTGTTATGTTGTGTTATGTTATGTTATGTTGTATTATGTTATGTTGTGTTGTATTATGTTATGTTGTGTTGTGTTATGTTATGTTGTATTATGTTGTGTTATGTTATGTTGTATTATGTTATGTTATGTTGTATTATGTTATGTTATGGTGTGTTATGTTGTGTTATGTTATGTTGTATTATGTTATGTTATGTTGTATTATGTTATGTTGTGTTGTGTTGTGTTATGTTGTGTTATGTTGTCTTATGTTATGTTGTGTTATGTTATGTTATGTTGTGTTATGTTGTGTTATGTTATGTTGTGTTATGTTATGTTGTGTTATGTTGTGTTATGTTATGTTATGTTGTATTATGTTATGTTATGTTGTATTATGTTATGTTGTATTATGATATGTTATGTTGTGTTGTGTTATGTTGTGTTATGTTATGTTATGTTGTATTATGTTATGTTATGTTGTATTATGTTATGTTGTTATGTTATGTTGTATTGTTATGTTATGTTGTATTATGTTATGTTATGTTGTATTATGTTATGTTGTATTATGTTATGTTATGTTGTGTTATGTTATGTTGTGTTATGTTATGTTATGTTGTGTTATGTTGTGTTGTTATGTTATGTTGTATTGTTATGTTATGTTGTATTATGTTATGTTGTATTATGTTATGTTATGTTGTGTTATGATATGTTATGTTGTATTATGTTATGTTATGTTGTATTATGTTATGTTGTATTATGTTATGTTGTGTTGTGTTATGTTATGTTGTGTTATGTTATGTTATGTTGTGTTATGTTGTCTTATGTTGTGTTATGTTGTGTTATGTTATGTTATGTTGTATTATGTTATGTTATGTTTTATTATGTTATGTTATGTTATGTTGTGTTATGTTATGTTTTATTATGTTATGTTATGTTATGTTGTATTATGTTATGTTATGTTTTATTATGTTATGTTTGTTGTGTTGTGTTGTGTTATGTTAGGTTATGTTGTGTTATGTTATGTTATGTTGTGTTACGTCATATTATGCTATGTTATGTTATGTTATGTTGTGTTGTTATGTTGTGTTATGTTGTGTTATGTTATGTTATGTTGTGTTATGTTATATTATGTTGTGTTATGTTATGTTATGTTGTGTTATGTTATATTATGTTGTGTTATGTTATGTTATGTTATATTATGCTATGTTATGTTATGTTGTGTTATGTTATGTTATGTTATGTTGTGTTGTTATGTTGTGTTATGTTGTGTTATGTTATGTTATGTTATGTTGTGTTATGTTATGTTGTGTTATGTTATGTTATGTTGTGTTATGTTATATTATGTTGTGTTATGTTATGTTATGTTATATTATGCTATGTTATGTTATGTTGTGTTATGTTATGTTGTGTTATGTTGTGTTATGTTATGCTGTGTTACGTTATGTTATGTTGTGTTATGTTATGCTGTGTTACGTTATGTTATGTTGTGTTATTATTATTATTATTATTAAATATTCGCCGGTATTCTCCCGGCCCGGGCCTTTTCCAAGTGGTGGCCCGGCCTTGGCTCCCTTTTTAGGGAGTGTCTGAGACCTAAGTCTCCCATGGGAGGAGGCACAAGTACCTCCTCATCTTTGGGACCAACTGTCCCCAGGCCTAGCCACAAGCTAGGCCTCTCTGGTCTGCCATCCCCGCCACAAGGGGGCTAATGGGAATGACAGTGTTATGAGCTAAAGGCTCGGGCTCAGGCACCTACCCTACCCTAGAAGGGTTAGGCATGGTGTCGATCTATGTTGTGTTATGCTGTGTTATGTTATGTTATGTTGTGTTGTGTTGTGTTATGTTATGTTATGTTGTGTTATGTTATGTTAGGTAAGATTCGTCAGAAACAACAAGAGTCAGCTTCATATTTTCACACATTTCTTTTGGTGATTTTTTTTTGTTAAATTTTATTCTACGTATTTTGTCTGTCTCACTGATTTTTTTTTCTTTGCAGTAAAAGTTATGGAGCCGAATTATTCTTTTCTACTTTTTTTTTTAAATATTTTTTTTTTTCCAATCAAGTTGCCTGTTTTAAATGAAGGTCGATTTTTTAAGTGATCTTATTTCTTTTATATTCCCCATCGCAACTTGCTCTAAACAACAACAACAACAATAATAATAATAATAATAATAATAATAATAATAATAATAATAATAATAATAATAAT